CACACGCACATTACAGATCATAGACGCCACCGAACCCGCCGCCCGGACGCGCGGGTACGCACCGCCGCGCGTGCCGTCGCCGCGAGTACGGGAGCGAGCACGCGTGTGTGCGCCGCGCCTTCGGCCGGTCGCCCTCGCCGCCGCCACAGCGCTGCCACGGCGGCAGCAGCCTCGGCGCCGCCGCCCGCCGCCGCCCAGACGCGCGGGTACGCCGCGCCGCGCGTGCCGTCGCCGTCGAGCGAGCGCCACGGTGCCGGTCGTCGCCGCGCGCGAGCACGCACGGCGCTCCTTCTGCTGCAGGCGCGGCGGGCAGCGCCCGCTACGACGCCTCGCAGGCTGAGCCTCGGCGGCGTCGAGGTCGGTCGCGCTCGCTCCCGCGGGCGCGGCGGTCGCCACCGATCCGGACGCGGCCATGGCGGCCCTCGCGGCCGGCGCGCAAGCCGCAGAGCCTGCCGGAGGTGCCACCCGAGCGGCGAGGTGAGTCGGTGGCGGCGGTGGCGAGGCCTATGGCGGTGCGAGCGGGGCTGATAGTGGCTCGTCGATAGTGCATCGGCTCGGAGGCTGCGATTAGCGGCTAATCACCGGGTGAACGCAACTGCGCCGCTCGCCACCAAAACGCCGCCGAGAGCCGCCGCCGGCTGCGTCGCGACCGCCGCCGCGCGGCTCGCGGCGGTGGACCCAGCATCTCCGCTCGGCGCCGCCTATATACTCGACCGAGACTCGGGTCACGGCCGCGAGAGCGACGGGGCTGGTAGACGGCCGCCGGCGACCTAGCACGGCGCTGCACGCCGCAGAAACGCCGCCGAGAGCCGCCGCCGGCTGCCTCGCGACTGCCGCCGCGCGGCTCGCGGCGGAGGACCCAGCATCGTCACTCGGCGCCGCCTATACTCGACCAAGACTTCGGGTCACGGCCGCGAGAGCGACGGGGCTGGTAGACGGCCGCCGGCGACCTAGCACGGCGCTGCACGCCGCAGAAACGCCGCCGAGAGCCGCCGCCGGCTGCGTCGCGACTACTGAGCCCGCGCGCCGCGCGCGGGCGAGGGGAGCGGCGACGGGGCGGTGGGCGACGAGCCGCAGCAGCTGCGCCTAAAAATGAGGTGGCGGCGGGAACTAGAGCGTCATCTGCTGCCGTGCGGGCAAGCGATCACCGCCCTCGAGCGCGCCGCGGCAGTACTCCGTCCGAACCAACGCAACAGCTCGGACCGCGCGCCGTGCTCGCGCGGCGGTGAGGGGGGTGGCGGTGGGCGGTGCCGGCGGCGAGCCGCAGCAGCGCAACGGCAACGCAAAGGCTGCGGCCTGAGAGCGCCGGAGAGGAGGCGCTCAAGAGGTGGCGCACCTCAACAGCGCTCCTCCGGAGCAATCGATTCGGAGACCTCGCCGCCGCCTCGCCGCGCGGCTGAGCCGGCACAACCTTCCGGGCCTTCAGGTCTCCACAGCGCCGCCCGCCACTCGTAGCTTTTTCTTTTTTATCTTTTATCTAACGGGGCTGCAAACAACTTATCCACTAGCTCTCGAACCAAAAAACAGAAAAAAATTGCGGACGGCTCGAGTTGTGCTCTGATACAGACTACCCAACCCACAGTGTCGGTTGCAGATTTCTTGGTTGCAGCAGGCAGCCTGATCGATCGAAATAAATACAAGCCGGCAAAGCCGGCGGTCGCAGCCGTGCTCTAGAGAGATATCGCAGTCTCAAGTGAGCTTCCAGGCTGAGCCGGTGCAGAGTGTGCCGGAGCAGCCGGCGCCGGAGAATAATCGTATCCCCAAGTGCCCCACGCCCCGTATTCGAACTCCTCGGCAACCTCGTCTAGTGCCTCATCCGCCCTCTGCATCGAGTCTGCCGAATTGTCGCTCTCCGCTGCCGGTGCTGGCGTGTCTCCTAGATAGCTGTTGAGAGCTTGCACAAACTCATCGAGTGAATGCACGACGACAAACACAGCACCCGCCCGAACCAACCGTGTGCGCCACTCCTGTTGGTACTTTCACCGGCTGCCGAGCACCGGGTACTTTCACCTCGACTGCCAAGCCGATCTCGTTGAAGGCTCCTCGCCAGTGAACGAAAACATCCGGGTAGCCGCTCGAGCTCCCGGTTGTTCGGAGTGCGTTCCATCGTATGGCGCCAAGGCGACCGCCGCCAAGGAAGGCGCCATTGACAGAACCCACAAAGGGCATGTCAGGCCAGTGTTCGCGCAAAAAGTGAGCGATTGCTTTCTGTATCTCATGCTCGCGGCGATGCCGAGAACGCGTCATGTTGAGCACGGCGCGACTGTTATGACTTTACGGAAAAAGTTTGTTTTTAGAATCGCGAGTGAGATCAATCGAATAAGTACACTATAGTCCCGGTGACCACCCGCAACCATTCGAGGCGATTTGCAACGCTTTTACTGCATTTTTTTGAAAAACCCCACCCTATATGAGATACCAAGCCTGGGTATTTCGATTGCGGCTGTAAGTTCACTGTAAGACTTACAGGTAGCTGTAAGGTCAATTGAAATACCTGGCTGGGGTATATCGATTCGGGGCGGATATTTTTCACTTTAATAGTTTTCCTTAACTTATTTCGCACACATTTGCCCCCCCAACCAGTAGAGGTTGAAACACAACTTTTTTGCTTTATGAGGTGCAATATGAGGTGTGGATGGAGCGCTAATGAGTCACTAGGAGCGCCGTTCGAGGGGGCCGATAGGCGTGACACGGCTCAAATTTGGGTTAAAAACTTCGTATTTTTGGCCTTGAAATGGCAAATTTTCTTCGGGGGGGCTCTGCCCCCCCAAACCCCCCCGCTGGGGGGGGCAAAGCCCCCCCCAGACCCCCCCCCTACACTGGAGTGGGGTGGTTTACAGGGTTGAGAAGATATACGCTCTAGGTATTGCAATACCAGGGTATGGCTGGGTGGGTTTCTTTTGTTGAGGAGTTCAAGAGGATGACAAGACTCACATCGTACGAGGCGCGCTCTGTTTCAGTGCGTCGTACATGTAGCTCGTACGGGTGGGCGTCCTCTCTGTGTATGAGCGGGACTGTTACGACCACAGTCGGGTACGGACTCCATGCGGAGAGAGAGAGAGAGAGAGGGAGACAACCGATGCGAGTCGACTGGTGTGTGTCGTCGTGGTTTCGTATCAAGAATTCTCTCTCTCTCTCCATGCGGACCATCAGTGATGTATTTTTTTTTCAGTGTCTTTGCTGGAGAACGCCCTCGGGAACACACGTGCAACACCCCCGACAAGGTGCGACACCCAGGAGCCAGGTCCGCGCGCGCCCTCGCCTGCACAGCGACGCGCGCCCGCCAGGTCGCCGCTTCTCCCCGAGGGCGAGCACAACCCACAGTTTCGTCCGCGCGGGCACGGCCGACTCTGCCAGGCACCCCCCTCGCTGGAACCGGGGTCAGCCGTGCCGCGCTGCCTCATGAAAGATTCGGACTCAGTACAGACGCAGGGGTGGAGACCCCACGCAACGCGCTGCGAGGGCGGCGCCTCACGGCGGCGCCGTCTCTGATGTGAGCCCCTCGGACGGAGCCTCCTCAGTCGACGTTGACCTCGGCGGCACGCGACTCCTCATCGCTCCACGACCGCAGCGTCATCGAGGTGGAGTCGTCGGCGGCAGCCTCGAAAGCCGCCTTGGCAGCCGCGAGGCTCGCGTCGTCGAAGACGAGGGTGCGCGCCCCGCCCGACTCCCACACGGCGCGGGAGACGTCTTCGTCGAAGCACTTGGAGTACTTGGCAACGATTTCGGCCCAGGTGGCGTCCGCGCGGATGGGC